GAGCTGTCGGCACAGAGCCCGATGTGGGACTCGAACTCATGAGCAGTGAGATCATGACCTGAGCCGAAATCAGACGCTCAACCGACTGAGCCACCCAGGCGCCCCGGAAAATGCCATCTTTTGACATAACAATAAAGTGTGGGTGTATTTTGGGAGTTCTGCGTTCTTCCCCGGGGATCTGTGCTCCTGTCCCTCCATCAGTACCCCACTGTCTTGAAGATTGTAGCTGTCAGTAATCTTTCTGATCAGGTAGAGTGAGTCTTTCGACCGTGACCTGACTCAGTTTACCGTTCCCGATAACGGGTCTGATCTGTCTGATCTCACGCCTGCCCCTGAGACCAGCTCTTCCTGTGGGATTTACTTCCGTTCCTTCCTCTTCTGTGAAGCCTTTCTTGGTTCCCGCTGCCTCTTTTGAACCTTAAAGGTGAGGGTTCCTTCCCTCTTGAATGCCCTGCGCTCTGTATCTGTGTCATTCACTTGGACTTTCACACGTAATCCCTTCTCTGTGCTCGCATTCCCGAGGAGCGCTCTCGCCTTCTTGGTGTGGTGGATTCCAGGTACCAGACGCCCAGGGTCCGGGATGCAGTAGGTCCTTGGCGAATGATTCGTTGTCGGAGAGAAAGGCTAAACCAGACTCCACTCCTACTTCAGGAAGGCATACGTGCGCGGTCGTAAGGGGGCAAAAGTACGCACGTGTCCTTTCGTTGCTGGTTTGCCAGGAGGTCCCTGACACCACATTGGTGCAAAGCGAAGCCTTCCCGGATCGACAAGCTGATCCAGGCTCTCTCTGTGTGTTTCAGGTTGGTTTATTTATTTTGAGACCCCCGAGAGAGGGTATGAGCCTGGGAGGAGCGGAGAGAGAATCGCGAGCCGGCCCCTCGCTGTCGGCGCAGGGCTTGAACCCCGGACCGTGAGATCGTGACCTGAGCCGAAATCAAGAGCGGGACGCTTCACCGACTGAGCCGCCCAGATGCCTCTCGGGGCTCTGGGCTTAAGCAGGACCTGGAGTGGTTGTAATAATTATTGGTAGCACCCAGCTGCATAACAAATGACCCCCAAATCCCCGTGGCTTACCACAAACCCTGATGCCTCACCCTTGGATGCTTGTGGCTTCTCGGCTGCAGCCTAGGGGTTGGATTGAGGTCAGCTCCATGCATCTCTCATTCCAGAGTCCCACGCGAAGCTGCAGCAGCTACCTGGAGGCACGTTCATTCTCCTGGCGACGGCAGGGGTTCGGGAGGCCAGGCCCAAACGAGGAAGCGCGTTTGAAAACCTCCGACTGGATCCTGTTGACTTCGGTTCCATCGACCAAAGTGAGCCACTTGGCTGAACCCCACACTAGTGGGGACCGGGAGGGGGTGCACCGAGGGGCTGGGGCTGGGGCAGGCGCGGGAGGAGGGGGTGTTTGCCGAGCAAGGACGCAGTGGGCCGCACCGCGTGATGAGCCGAGGCTGGGGGCCCGGCTCCAAAGGCCTGCAGCCAGAGGTGTGGCCGTGGCCTTGCGGGGGTCTCAGAAGAAGATCTAGGAGGAAGCCAAACTAGATAGGGGCCCGCTGCTCTCGAAGGCCATCCCGTCTCGGGTACAGGGAAGGACGCGGGAGCTGCCGTTGCCAATCAACGTCCCCCCTCCGTGGTTTCTCTGTCTGTCATTCCACTGCTCATCCTTAGTGGGGAACAATCTTGATTGCCATTTTCTCGTTAGGAAATACTAGGTCCTGGGAAAGCATAACCTTCGAAAAGACGGCAGTCAGGCTGCTCTGTGGCGAGGCTTTTCTCTCAGGTGGCTGGTGTTTGAGTCCTTCAGAAACCAGGAGAGGGGCGCCTGGGGGGCTCACTGGGTAGAGCCTTCGGCTCAGGTCATGATCTCCTGGTTCGGGAGCTCGAGCCCCGTGTCGGGCTCGCTGCTGTCCGCACAGAGCCTGCTTCGGATCCTCTGTCCCCCTCTCTCTGCCCTTCCCCTGCTTGCTCTCTGTCTCTCAAAAATGAATAAATAAATGTTTTAAAAAAGCCAGGAGAGGGGCGCCTGGGTGGCGCAGTCGGTTAAGCGTCCG